TGACTCCTAAGCGATTGAGGTGTTTTGTTGTTGGATGTAATAATGAACATAGCAGTTGTCATTTACTCCCGACATCTGAGCCACTGAACTCGCAGTGGATTTCGTTTGTTTCTGAAGGCAATGCTCCCTCGATCTGCCTAAAAATGCGTCTATGTTCGCGCGAATCATTCATGATCCAGCCTCATCTACAGAAGAAGTGAGTATAATGTTTTGTAATGAATCTTTGCAAATCGCCTTTCCAAATAATGTGCTAATTAGCAAGTGTCACGATCAGTGCGGCTAAAGTAAGCAGTCTCTCTGAGAGCAGCTGGGAAGAGAGGGGCGGGGTCAGCAGAGCTCATTAACATTTAAAGGGAAATGCTACAATTTCGATTTCACAAAGAAATGTGCAGCATTTTGTCCAAGCAATAATAAAAGGACACATTTAAGTTATAATTTGTCTTAAATCTAATTTTCTTTAAAAAATTTAATAATAATCGTGAATCGAATCGAATCGTGAGTTGAGTGAATCGTTACATCCCTAGTAAAATTACAGATTTAAAAAAATTACTTTAAAAAGTAGAAGTACACAAAAAACTACTCAATTACAGTAACGCGAGTAAATGTAATTCGTTACTTTCCAACTCTGGCAACAGGCGGCAAAGAGAGCCTAATGCGTGGGAAAATCTAATCCGCTACGCTTAGGGAAATTACACAAGCAACAATATTATAAGCAATAACTTGTAGGCTTAGTGGATTAGTGGTCTAAATAATCGCCTGTTCATTAGGAGTTGCGATCCTGGGAGGAAGCTCTGGCGCGGGCAGCCGAGGAGCAGAGGGAGCAAGAGGAGCATCTGAGGAGGCGTGAGCAGGAGTTAGCCGAGAGAGAGATCGACATTGTGGAGAGAGAGCTCAACATCATCATCCATCAGATGTATCAAGAGAAACCACATGTGAAAAAACGCAAAGGCCACTTCAAAAAGAGCAGACTGCTCAAACTTGGCAGGGACAGCAACTGCATCAGTCTGCCATCTGGTGGGTGGAACGGGAACATACACTAGCGGTCAAAAGTTTGGAAGAATTACCATTGTTTAATGCTGTTCTTTTGAGGCTGCATTTATATGTTTGTGGTGCGATCTGAATACAGTCAAAGTAGATATATTGTAAAATTGCAATACTATTTAGAACAGCTGTTGTCTATTTTAATATATTTTATGATGTAATTTATTCCTGCGACGGCAAAGCTGAGTTTTCAGCAGCTCGTGATCCTTCAGAAATCATTCTGATAAGCTGATTTGCTGCTCAAGAAACATTTTTATTGTATCTGCTGCCCAGCATTTTGTGGAAACTAATCAATCAATGCCTTAATTCTGCAAGGATGCATTTAATTGATCAAAAGTGACAGTAAAGACATTTAATGTTACAAAAGCTTTTATTTCAAATAAATGCTGCTTTTTTGATAATAATTAGAACCATTATTAATAATTAAGAACCAGTAATAACTGTTAATAATTGAGTGCCAAATCAGCATATTAGAATGATTTCTGAAGGATCATGTGACACTTAAGACTGGAGTAACTCAGCTTTGCATCACAGGAGTAAATTACATCATAAAATATATTTCAATAGAAAACAGTTATTTTGAATTATAATAATATTTCACAACATTGCTGGTTCTACTTTATTTTAATCAAACAATTGGAGCCTTGCTGAGCATAAGAGACTTCTTTAGTATACTTTTAATTATTCTAAACTTTTGACCAGCATTGCATTATGTACATTTATAATAAAAGGAATTTTTTTCCCCCCTAATCAAAATTTGTGTTATTGTCCAGTAAAATGTTTTATCATACAAATCTGAAGAGTCCAGCCAATATACCCTTAAAGTCAATTTAATTCTATGTAGAATCCTATTCTGTAAGTCCCTGACAGCATCTGTCTGTTTTAGGTTTTGAACATAAGATCACGGTGCAAGCGTCACCCAGCGTGGACAAGAGGAAAGGTCAGGGTAGTGAAAGCACAACTCCTCCAGCCAGCCCAGGGGTCATTCCTCGCCTCAGAGCCATACGCCGTAAGTCAATGTGTGAATGTTTGGGTTTTATATAGGAGAATAAATAAGGACCAGAGTACATTGCTGGAGTAGCTTATTACATATTGAAGTACGCCTGCATTGCTGTGTGCCAAGAATCAATACCACTTAAAAGAGTTGAATGTGTCTGTGAAGTGCATTGAGACTGTCTTAGCTTACATACTTGTGTTTCTATGCAATCCATACTTTATGCTGTGTTAGGTAGCAATATGTAGTATGCAAAACAAAGATAAATTGAATATTTTCTGAAATGTGTTTGTATTGCTGTGTGGTCTAGTGACGCCCAGTGATGGAAGGAAGACGTGGGGCCGGACGGCAGTGTGTAAGAAAGAAGACCTAGGGACCAAGAAGAAGGGCCGAACATGGGGGCCCAGCTCCACACATCAGCGCGAGAGAGTCGGTGGAGAGGACAGGTAGACCAAAAAAAATATACCTTTAAAGGAGTTGTATTTCTTTTTCTTTTTATTTATGTAACTAGTTATTTTTGTATTTATTTACTTAATTTATTTATTTATTTGATGTAGAAGTCCACTTATAATACTTTTTAATTGTTTATTATTATTGTTATATTAATGTTTTTGTGCCAAAATTTTGTATACATTTTCTTAATGACTCTAGGGAGAATATATATACAGTAAATATATATATATATGTATATATATATATATATATATATATATATGGCATGTGACAGTATGACATTTTCATGTTGTGATAACTGCCAAAGCATTTATCACAGTATACAGTATTATCCCAATATTGAAAAAAGTTGCAAAAAGTGTTGACATTACACAGTATAACAGGTTTAATTTATATTATACAATTTGTATAACTACATTTGATTTTTAATTTAAATGTAATCAAGCTGCTCCCCTTTTTGTTAGGTTAAAGTCACTTGGGGAGGGTAAGGTGTTGTCCTCCAGCGCTCCAAATCTGGGGAAGTCCCCAAAACATGCTCCTATGACAGCTGGATTCTCAAGCCTAAATGAAATGGGTGAGTCTGAGTCCTATTCTGCTTATAGACATATAATGAACCTGCCTCTGATTTGAACATTATGACCCAACACAGTACATCAAACAGATATCAACTGAAATTGTTTCTCTTTATTCATGATTAATTCACTACCCTTATCTTCTGTGTAGAGGAGCACTGTGAGTTTGATGACAGCTCCCCAGGACGTCTGGCTCCTGAGCTGGGCAGTAATGGAGCAATGGAGGAGGTGGGTTTAGGGTCAGCGGGTGTAGGGCCGGGAACAGGCTCACAGGATTCAGTTCGGCGCTGCAGCCAGAGGAAAAAGAGTGACCTGCTGCTGCTGGGCTGTGCCTCCATACTGGCCGCTGTGGGCCTGGGCTCTGACATCTTCCAGCTGGGACGACAGCAGGTACACATTATGAGAGACTGGGAAAGTGGAAAAGAAAAGTAAGGAACAAAAGAAAAGAGGCTTAATAGGAGGGTTGAGTAGTGTTTTTTCAGTACATTGTTAATGAATGTATTATCATAAGCAAGACCACAAATATTGATTATTACTTTGTAATTATTATACATTTAACAGTTACACTTTATTTTAAAGGGATAGTTCACCCAAAAATGAAAATTCTGTTAATAATTAATTACTCACCCTCATGTTGTTCCAAAACCGTAAGACCTTCGTTCATCTTCGGAACTCAAATTAAGATATTTTTAATGAAATCCAAGAGCTTTCTAACCCCCCATAGAGAGCAATGCAACTGAAATGTTCCCAGAGCCAGAAAGGTAGTAAGGACATCGTTTAAATAGTACATGTGACATCAGTGGTTCAACCGCAATTTTACAAAGCTACGAGAATACTTTTTGTGTGCAAAAAAAAAAAAAAGATTTTATTTAACAACTCTTCTCCTCCAAATCATCTTCCGCCATTATCGCGTTTTCTACGTCAGCAGCAGCACGCGCATGCGTTGTTTACGTGAGGTACTCTCGATAATGGCGGAAGACGATTTGTAGGAGAAGAATTGTTGAATAAAGTCGTTATTTTTGTTTTCTTTGCGCACAAAAAGTATTCTCATAGCTTCGTAAAATAGCGGTTGAACCACTGATGTCACATGGACTGTTTTACCGATGTCCTTACTACCTTTCTGGGTCCGGGAACATTTCAGTTGCATTGCTCTCTATGGAGGGTCAGAGAGCTCTCGGATTTCATCAAAAATATCTTAATTTGTGTTCCGAAGATGAACGAAGGTCTTACGGGTTTGGAACAGCATGAGGGTGAGTAATTAATAAAATAATTTTCATTTTTGGGTGAACTATCCCTTTAAGGTGTCCTTGTTACAGTACTGAGTATTAATTAACTACATGTACTTACTATATGGTTAGGGTTTGGCTTAGGGTTACTTGCATGTAATTATGCATAATTTATTGTTATTATAATAGTAAGATACATTTAACATTTACTTGTAATACTTAAGTGAATTAATATTTGTCATTTAATATTTAAATAAATAATAGTTTCACAAAAAGTATAACCGTTAAGTAACTATTAAATAATTTGAATTATTTGGGCTATCATATGTGAGTAATTACATTTTTATATACTACTAATACTTTCATATTTTCTTTCTTTAAAATAATGAGATTTATTTTAAGTGAATGTTACAAAAAAAACATGTTCAGCTCACATTTCACTGCTAAATAAAATAGAATATGTATTTTGCACTAAGAAAATATTTTTCACACTACTAAAATGTGTTCTTTTGATTTTTTTGTAGTAATTCTCATTTAGTCTTTTATATTTATTGCTATATATTATATTATTATTTGACCTTATTGTTGAACAATGTGATGTTATTCATTCATGTGTGTTCAGATGAGTCAAGATGAGCAGGACCTGCGAGAGGAGCAGAGGAAGAAGAAGGAGGGTTTGTTCCAGCACACGGGCCGATTCAGACGCAGCACCTCTCCACCCAGCCGCACACTGTCACTCTCCCTGTCCCACAACCGCCATCAGGACTCCACCCTGCCCAGCATGGACCCGTCTCCTTCCGTTACCGTCCTCTCTTTGTCCTCCCTCTCTGACTGCAACTCCACCAAGTCCCTGTTGCCCTCTGATCCTGATGACTTTGCCCCGACCCCTAGTAGTGCTCACTTGGTGGTCTCTCCCGCGCTGTCATTAAACCCTCTGCTGGACCTGAGGGCGGAGAGCTTCAAACGAGAGCCCAATCAGTCCCTCACACCCACCCATGTCTCTGCAGCTATGGCATTAAACCGCGGGCACCGCCGCACGCCCTCTGATGGGGCCATCCGTCCTCGAGCGCAGACGGTCGTGGGGCATCGGCGCACCCCCTCTGATGGGAGTATGCCCTTCCCACCCGCACAAGCCCCAACCATTACACCATATACAGGTACAACATTTGACTTGAAATGCTATTTGGTATTGGGTGAATCTCTGTTGAAACATTTACATTCATATCTTATCATAATCTTATATTTAATCGTAACTTGCATGATTCCATATTTAACTGTCATTTTTCCATGATGTGTAAGTACTTTACAAAAAAAAAAAAGTAAAATATATTTATTTATTTATTTTTGCTCTGCTTTTAAAGGTCATTTAGTAAATGTCTCAACAACATAAAAGACAATATTTTAGAACCACTAGGATTTAATTTAACTTTTTTTGTAATTCCCATTAATCTTAATAGTGTTTCTCACGAAGATCAATAAGATTATTATTATTATTATTATTTATAATATGTTTCTTAAAATATAACTTTTATATAACATAACGAGTAATATTTGTCCTAGCTTTTTGTATTTTTGTATGCTCAGTAGTGATTGCCATTAATGTAATACAGTATTTTATTGCTGTATATATATATATATATTTATCTAACGTAATGTAGATGTTTAAAATATTTAAAATAATGCATGATTTGTTTCATATTAGAGTAATGAGAATTAGTTTTTTTTCTTCCTTTTTTGCAATTACCATTATTCTCAGTATTGATTCTCATATTGTTATTAATATAGTTTTTCTTTTAGTTTTTTGTATAGTTTTCTATAGTTTTTCTGCTTTTGCTTTTTGCTGTATTTCAGTATATGTAATATTATATATAATATTTATATTATATATAACATTTTTATATATAATATTTGAATATATAATTTTAAAATCATGTAATCATGTTTTATTTTCACATTAAGGTAAAGACATTTTAAATATATATTTTTTAAATGTGCTTTATGAAAATAGTTGTCACAGTGAGTGCAAAAAATCTTAATGGTGTTAAATGTAAACCTCAGTAAGAAAATACAATCTTTCATATGTCTTGATTTTTGGATAAAATATGATATAATCATATGGTTAAATATCTTGTTTGTGAATTCTAATTTTACTTGAAGAGTCTTTCATGTCGTTCATATGTTCTCCTCCAGGTTCTCATGAAACTCTTGACATTCCACGCCTGCCTGACCCATCCATGGTCTATCCCTCAGCCAATCGGCGCAAACCTCCTCCTCCCATCCCCATCCCCGTGCCAGAGCCAGACAGCCCTACAGGCACACTCGAGCGTCCCAAAACCCTTGAGTTCGCTCCTCGCCCCCGACCCACCCCAGCTCGGGCACGTCCGGACCCCTGGAAACTATCATCTCTGTCCCAGACGCTCAGTTCGTCTCCAGGTAGCAGCTGCGACAGTCCGCTGGGCTCGGGTGACAGCGGAGTGAGCGCTGGAGCAGGTGTCGTCCATAAAAACCTTCTCGACATGGACATGGAAGGCCAGAGCCAGGACAACACCATCCCCCTGTGCGGACAACACCAAAAGGCCACTCTATGCGGACAACATTTCTCATAGAAAGACTTCTGTCCCCCACCGTCCGGGCTGATGCACCCTGAACCAGCACTCTGTGGCCGTCATAAGAGGTTTCCCCACAGTTTGCCCCGTGATCCCATCAGACCATGCTCTCTGGCAGCTCTAATGGAAAAGCTGCCCTCTGCAGTAGCTAGACAGCCGCCTTCTGGACAGGTTAAGAGATAAATGACCTTGATTTGTTTATCTCAGCCTGTCCTCAATGACTCATTCTCTGTGTGTTTAATGGGCCTCATAACGGCTGCGATCGGTTGGTTAAACAGTGGCCTGTATTGAGCAGGAGAGGGCAGTCTAACTACTGTAGGTCTGTGACCTTCCTTGTTTGTCCATATCTCTGTTATCCTAGGGCCAGTCTCTCTCGCCTCTTCTTCTTCATCATGGTCTCCATGGGTACAACCTGTTTTTTGGCCTGGAAAAAAACGCCATTTTTTCCCCCTCCAGTGTGTACATCATAAAGTTCAGCGATGCTTTCTGTGTTTACATTCAGGAGAATTGTGTATGCAGTTAATTGCAATGACACAGGGAGCTCTTTTGCGAGTTGCATTCATTGTAATATATTGATACAATATAAAAATAGGTGTACCACAAGAATTTTATATTTTTCTTTTTTTGAAAATAACAAACAAACAAAAAAACAGACTACATCTCAAACTACTCTCTGCATGACCTAATCAGAATGTGAGAGCAGTCCAAACGTGAAAAGAAACATGAGCAGATGCTTTCTCTCCATGTGTGGAAGTACTTGGCACTTTCCAAGGATAGGGTACACTTTTTTTTAAAGCATTAGAGGCATAAATCTTATGTTTTTGGTCACGAAAAGCAGCTAATAAAAAAAAAAGAAAAAAGAAAACTTCAAATGTTTGTATTCCACTTAAAATGGGAATTTTGGCCCTTCCCACCTCAGAAGCCTCAAACTTTTGGATGTATCCAACAAATATAATGCTAAATTATACATATACACATTATACATATATCCTATATATGTATATCCTATTTATCTGTCTCACATTTTGTGTACGACCCTGCATGATGTAATACACAAAAATTGTATTGCATGTTCTCAAATTAAATTTGACCCGCTCAACTTTCAACTGTTACCTATGGTATTAAAGAAAAAATAATATTTGTCTTTAATTTATGGGAGATAAGTGCATGGGAAGTAACTACAACTCACCGTATCTGCCCCTATTGATAGCCCCATTAGCAACACTTTTTTCTTCTTTTTTAAATTTTTTTAAATATATTTTGTCCATTTATTTAGCTGTTTATTGCAAGGAAAAATAACTAAATTAAAGGAACCAGGTAAACTCTATATAAACCCTATTTAGTGATTCTAAATCAATTCTACACTAGTGTTCAAAATTTGGGGTTTGGAAAGATTTTTTTATGTTCTTGAATGAAGTCTCTTATGTTCACCAAGGCTGCATTTATTTGATAAAATAGAGTATAAACAGTAATATTGCGAAATAATATATTACAAATTAAAAATAATAGTTTTTATATGTGACCCTGGACCACAAAACTAAGGGTCAATTTTTCGAAACTGAGATTTATACATCATCTGAAAGCTGTATAAATAAGCTTTCCATAGATGTATGGTTTGTTAGGACAGGACAATATTTGATTGTCCGAGATACAACTATTTGAAAATCTGGAATCTGAGGGTGCAAAAAAAAATCTAAATATTGAGAAAATCACCTTTAAAGTTGTCCAAATAAAGTTCTTAGCAATGCATATTACTAATCAAAAATTAAGTTTTGATATATTTACAGTAGGAAATTTACAAAATATCTTCATGGAACATATTCTTTACTTAATATACTAATGATTTTTGGCATAAAAGAAAAATCAATAATTTTGACCCATGTGTATTTTTGTATAATGTATTTTTGACTATTGCTACAAATATACCCCAGCGACTTGGAACTGGTTTTGTGGTCCAGGGACACATATGAATATGTTTTATAATGTAATTTATTCATGTTAGGCAACACTGAATTTTGAGCAGTCCTTACTCCAGTCTTCAGTGTCACATGATCCTTCAGAAATCATTCTAAAATGCTGATTCGGTGCTCAAGAAACATTTCTTGTTACTATCAATGTTAAAAACAGTTGTGTTGCTTAATATTTCAAAATAACTTTTTTAACAATGTAAAAGTATTTACTGTCCCTTTTGATCAACTTAATGCATCCTTGCTGAATTAAAGTATTAATTTCTTTAATAAAAAAAAAAGAAAAAAAAAAAAGTACTGGCCCAAACTTTTGCACAGGAGTGTGTATGTCCCAAATTTTGGTAGCATAGTTGCAAATCTTACAGGAAATGAATAAAACACTTAATGTAATAATTAGTTTGACCCCCTGCGGTCAACATATTTTGAAGGTTAAGCTTTTGTACCCTATTCGTGGAAAGTGCTTGTTACTGTGCATGTCCATCTGACTAAAACTGGATGAGTAAGCCCCTAGGCCACTCATTCTGTTCAAGAGTGTTTCAAGTGAAAACCATTTACTTCCCCCTTTCATTATAAACTCATCTGAAAAGCCTCTGTTCTCCTCAAAACAATGTCAGCTCCTGTAAGGAGCATCTTGAGAAGAGAAGGACAGAAATAGGAAAATTAGGGTTTTTGTAACAATTGGCAATAAAAAAAGCAAACATGTACTACCTGCTTTTTTTATGTACCAGACAAGACACTTCCTTACCTCCTTAAAGTGACGTTCTTCCTCCACCTACTGAACAATTCAACTGAAGAGAAAGAAACAGTATGTATACACCAGATCTGACCATGCGTCACCACAGAGAGCATTGTGAAGGACACTGTCATGTCAGGGCACATGGAAAGAGACGTGTGATGAGATCCTTAATGACATTACACTTGTGCAAGAAATACAGGGTGTTCTTTTGGCGGACTGAATGGTGCTGAGAAACGCACACTGGAGGGTTTTTAATTCGTTGTGCTGAACCGTTAAACCTGGTAGTAGGCAGTATTTTTTTTGACTGTCCACCAACGAGTATGGCTGTTATGTGAGTGTGTGTGAGCGGACGGGTGTGTGTGCATGTGGTTTGTGTTCTTATTGTTATCATTTGTTTGGGGTAACTCTCTGTGCAGGGGTTGAACAAACCCACCCCCTTATTTCCTGTGTGAGGAACACTAAGAGTATTTATTAAAATAATTGTTACAAGCAGTGATGTGTTGGTTTTGATACTAATTACTGTCTTGTGTTTTCATAATTACACAATGTCCTGTTAAAAGATGAGATTATTAGTACTAGTAGTGTATATCATTTTAAATCATTTGCTAAGTATTTATTTATTTAGCAACCAAAACTATTGCATTTATGCATAAGCTTTTAATTTAAATGTTTTTTAAGATAAAAACAAATCAGTCCACGGTTAATTTGTACTTTTTACTGATAGCAGCACAAGTATTATTGCAGATCTGTTGTGGTGAGGATTTGTTTCTTTCCAAAAAATTTGAAAGCATCTAAACCCAATCCATCGTTTTATTCCCATAAACAATAAACAAAGACCGATATTAAAAAAAAAAAAAAA